TTATTGGGTTGGTTTCTTTACATGTTTGCTATGCAATAAACATATTTAACATTATTATAGATTTGCTTCATTAACTTTTACGTAGTTTTCCCAATTGAAAACGTTGAGGTAGCTGCGTTTTGTTTTCGTTCTTCATTTGGTTTTTTTCATTTTTTTCTTTTTTTTTTTTTTAACAATTAACTATTTGTATTAGGTTCTTGGTTATCCCTGATATATAATATATATGTGTGTGTGTATGTGGGATTGGTGTTGGACAATTTGTAACGTGTTCTATGATAACTCTCTAGGGGTGAGATGAACCGAACCTCATTCTTAAACTTAAAAGTTAATAAACGAAAACAAGCCACAAAAAATGTAACTACAATTTATAATAATTTTTTTATTTCGTATATTTTATATATATTTATATATATGTTTTGTTGTTGTTGTATGTATATCGTTTATATATATATATGCGCGTGTGTGTATGTGTGTTTATAATATTATACATAAAAAACATCGAAATCGTAAAATAAAGTCGAACTAAATTTAAAATAAAAGTAAAAAGTACAAATAAAACAAAAACAGAAAACAAAAACATTTAATAATTATTATTTTGGCATAGCGAAAAACRATTGTTCAGCATGTGGCAAAGGGGTTATCGAGGGCGGGTGGGGTGTGGAGGAAGTGTGGGCTGATGGGCGGATGTGGCTAGGAAATTCTGTAATTATCTCTCCCAGACGAGCCCAGATGCCAACAAGCATTTTGGCGTCTTGGAGTTAAATGCGCATCTGTTGGCACATTTTCTATCGAGTTCTTTGTTTTGCGTCTCTTTTCTTTTCTTTTGTTTTCTTTTTTTCTTTGGCAAGAGATTCAGCTCAGGCTTKTGGCTCCGCCTTGCAGTAGTAATTGGCTAAGGTGTGTCGTAGCCCGTTTGAAGTCTTATGGTAAACTTGAATTGACTAGAAAATAAAAGTTTCTTTGTTATTTCGGCTGTAGTAACAGTGGTAACTGAAGCGAGGAGCTACTGTACTTAAGCGCCCCATACACATGGCTGAACAATGCATAAAATATAATAATATATATATATATAAGGAGAATTATAGAAATGAAAATTGTAGTAGACATTGAAAACTGTTCATCATCATTATCATCGTCATCATCATCATCATTATCATTATCATTATCATTCATCATCCATCATCCATCATCATTAGTTATCACTTGCTCTTCTTCTTATAACGTACGACTAWTAACTATCATTGGGATTCATTCTTCACTTTGCTGGCTCTGTTCATTCATCTATTTGTCTGCTGATCTGGCCAATCTTTAACATTAACTTGATTTCGCCTGGTTATCGAAGCGACTGCGTCTGTGCCATCAGCTCCGTCTGCTGCTTCAACTTCACTCTATAAAAATATAAACATTTGCCCTACGTACAAGAGTTAAAGAGAGAGAAAATTAGAGAGGGTGTCTGTATGTCTGTCTGTGTCTGTGTTTGTGTGTGTGTGTGTGTGGGTGTGAGGGTAGGATTTGGGGATTGCACCTTGCTCTATATATGTAGTTCTATGATCTCTGATCTCTGGGTGTGACAGACGCCCGTGGCACATGCCGTCAACACCGTCACCAATCGCTGATGGATCCACACGGGCATTGACGGCGCTGCGCCTCTACCGGACATTGACTGCAACACGACCCGCGTTCGCGTCGTCTACTGCCTCCTCGGAGTGCCCCCCGCTAACTGCTACTAACTAGACGTGCTTTAGTTTAGTAGAACGAACTGCACCAGGCATCGCCCACCGTGGGGCTTAGCAGGCCGACCAAATTGCTGCCATGGTGCGACGGCACGGCGCCATTCGCCACAGACGCCGGCGATGCCGTGTGAGTCGAGCTGGGCAAGCACTGGAAGCAGTAGTTGGCGCCATAGTTATTATCCCAAAACTGTTGGCCCTTGCACTGAAAGCGCACGGCGAACTCCAGCCGTTGCCCCACATGCAGCGAGTTCCCGAAGAGCACGAACGTAAACTTATCGGAGAAGCCGTCGCACGAGTTCTCCACGTAGTTGGCCTGCAGATCGGCGAAGCTGCGCCAGCCGTCCAGCGAGTAGCGTATGTGCACGGATTTGTGAAAGTCCAGATTGCGCACCCGCACCGTGCCGGCGATTGTCTGATTGATGTTGTCGGTGACAGCGGCATTCTCCAGCGACACCTGCTTCTCGCGCACCGCATCGAGGAATGTGGGCAGGCCGCCCGGCTGCTGGAACAGCGGCATCAAGATCTTATCGGACTTGGGCCCCAGCTGCAGCGGCGGCTCTGTGTCCAGTATTTCCAAATCCTCGAACGCTGACTTCGGTATTGTGGGTATTTCGTCCATGAACGTTTTCACATCCGCCAGATCYAGGCCSAGCACGTCGGCGAAGCGCACGATCTTCTTGCGGCCCGGCGTGCCCGGCGGCGTCTTGCCCGTCTTCAGMGAGGAGCAGCGTCGCACACGCTGCGGCCGACAGTCGTCCTCGTCGTCTGTGGTGTCGATGCCATGGCTGTGGCGCGACTTCTCCGCCTCGGCCTCCTCGACATCCTGCTGCGCCCGCTCCACCTGTGCCAGCTCCACGTTCACAGTCAGATTGCTGCATTTGTCCACCTCATCTGTGCCGCTGTCGGGTGTTTTCTGCTCCTCCCCGACTTCGCTTGCTGTGGTTTTCTGTTCTTGCTCAACTCTTTGCTCCTGYGGAGCCTYTACATAGCCATTGACCAGCGCTGGCTCCTCCACTTGCTCCTCGCTGAAGCCATTGTCCGGACTCTTGATGCTGTCGCTGTGCAGCTGCAGCTCGCTCAGGATTTGCGCCTGCAGCTGCGTCTC